ATAAATCCCTGGCTAAAAGACGGTTTGGCGACAAGCTGGGACTTACATGCGGAGCTGCAATGCCAAGCCGTAGCTAAATAGAGAAAAAAAAGTCGCTAATACATCTGCACGAGAAAAAAATTGAATGTTGCTTGAACATTTATAATATGTTAAAAAATGTGCGCCAATATAAATGCTGATTTTACAATAAGAAGAAATGCTAGGTCAACTACGTCCACGGTTAAAGAACAAATTTAATATCGAGTTGGCAATTTTTTTAAAGTAAAATTAGCATTTGATACTCGTCGCACATTTTTTGAACGATATAAATGCTAAATAAACATTCAATTTTTCCTGTGTGTTTTCATTTTAGTTTTTTTATACCCCTCGTTGATAAAATCTTGAAGCCTCTAAAAAACTATTCATGGATCTATCGGCAAACACGGGCTTTACAGCACAACTTGTGTGCTTTTTCGGCAAAAAATTAAGTTTAAAATGAAATTTTATAGATGCAACTATTCGTGTCTCTAGGATGTCCATGTTGCATACCCGAAAAATTGAAGGCAAACTGGCCACGCATATATGCTCACTGTCTATCCAAACGTATACGCAGTTCGAGTTTTCTACCAAGGTAGATGATTCGTAAAATAATGATCGATTTCTAAGAGAGAAGATAAAGATTAGATAAAAAGTGCAGAAAAGAAAGCAGGAATATGCATCAGGTTTTGTACTTTGAAGGAAATTATGCAATAAGCCTGCTCGATTCTCAAAACTCAACATGCTTGGTTAATGACGGAATAAACTTTCTTTCGATTAAAGTTCGTGATATTTCTTAGTAAACAAAAAGTCGTTTCACCCCTCAAGCACGTGTCGTGTCTATAAGAACAAAAAACACCCTTACAACCCTTTCAAACATAAAGTACAGCGGAAATATAAAAAACCCGAAAAAACAAAAACGTGAGTTAACGGAAATTCTACGCATGAGATTTGAATTGATAAACTGAGAAGATTGAAAAGAGAATCGGAAAAATAGGAAATTCAAATAAAACAAATAGCTGGTGCGTTTTGGGTCTTCGCGGACCCTTCTTTGTTTACAAATGCTCAACTATTTCAACAAAGTTCGAAAAAAAGCCCGAACATATTGGTTGTTTGATTATTCTGGTTTGGGTATCCTGATGTTTCGGCTTACTTATTCCTCTTATTTCAACATGAGATTGGTCAATGGTCAAGGAAGAACACAAGCCGTATTTGTAGATTCCTCACGGGGTAAAGTTCCTTTACACTAGTAAAAAAATAATGTTCTTTACCTATTTTGACGATGAATTGAGTAAATTGATTCGAAAGTCAAACGAAACTCCAATTTGGAGGCAGTTAGTGTAATTTACCATCAATTACGGTCATTTTAGAGTCAGGAAGAGTCATCTAGAGTTGATCAGAATCCAAGGAATTGATATAAGGTCAAAGACCCTAAAAGGAATTTAAGTTCACGCCTTCTCATCTAAAAGATGGGAACAGCACATTATTGTTTTTAAGTACGGGTGTATAATTAATTAAAAGTGCTGCGGGGGCAGCATATAATTAATCAGTAAATCTGCTAGCAAAGAGTTGCTTTAAAGTGATCCTGAGACGACTGTCTCTCACCAAACTTATACATTTTCAAAGCAAGTTTTCCATTTTTCTTTTTTTAAAATTTTGGAATCGCTTAAACTAGTGAGCCAAAGTCGCAAAGAAAAGTCTGACTAAGATAAAATCCTCTTTCTCTATTCAAATGCCACCAGTTTCATCTCCAGAATCAATGGCTCTGCACTAATATTTTCCACCTTCGATGCGGTGATAATTCCCTCGGGTTGCTGAAATGACATATTTGAGTCCTTGAAGACCTTTAGAGAAGGCAAGAATTGAACTGCAAAATTCATGTTTAAACAAAAATCGACATTAAACACGTTGAACGAATTGAAGACTGCCAAAATGAACTCATAAAAAATAATAAGCGATTGTAATCCGCATTAGAATCGATCAATTACTACCCTAGATGCCAGTTCTCATTATTATAGTCTCCATTCTGTTCTTCCTTACCGATATGAATCTTTTAGAAACATAAGTTTTTTACCAGCAGTGCTTCTCTAGAGAGGTCAGCCTCATGCTAGAAACCATTGGCGGATCTAGCAAATTGGCAACATTGTCTTTTCTCCATTTAAACCCATGGAAATGTATCGATTCTTAGAACTGTCAGGTGCTCCACTAAGAATCGATTATTTAGCATAGGTTTAAATGGAGGAAATCCGGTATTGTCAAATTTCTGGAACCGCCTCTGCTAGAAACTGCGGGGGAGGGCCGGGGGGAAATGCCTGGCTCTCGCCCTGCGCGCCGATAAAATTTTAACCCAAGGCATGGATAGCCTCTCTAAAATCTTATTTTATAGTCCACTATTGTACATATCTAACAGTTGTATCCGATTTCTCTGTCGTCTGGATCCTTATTTGCATTTGAATTTATCATAATTATTAGATTTTATTGTAATTATTTATATGATTTGTTAGGCATTTACTTTTGAATTTTATTCAATGGTTATAGTTAGAGTACCTTCATAGACAGAGTATGGCCATTCGTATCTTTTTACTACAGGAAAACTGTTCCGCTTTTTGATTGGTCAACGAGTTTTTAGGCTTCATGATGCTCTTACGGCCGTAAATAAACAAACAAGATTGCGGCTCACCGTGACATTGATGGGAAGCAACATTTGACAAACATTTCAATTATACGGCAGTAACAATTTCAATTAGCAAATCTACGAATATAACACATAAAATCACACGAACACACTGTTAAATCGCCTTTTGCCTTTATCACAGGAGGATGTAAGATGCGCATAACCTCACACTTGCTTGCTGATAACAGCCATCTTGTTTGTTTATTTACGGCCGTAAGAACATCGTGTCAGCCTATATTCACGCGACCAATGAAAATCCGGCACAGAAATGGCCATACTCTGTCTATAAAGGTACTCTAGTTTATTTGGAAGCTATTAATGAATAGTAGAAAAAAGGGGAAAAATCGATTAGTTTAAACTTACCCATCGTGACAAAACTTAAAACTTACTTAACTCAATTTTTTTTAAAAAAAAAAAAACTGTTTGGCAACAGCTCACAGCGCTGTGACAGTGCCCGGTCTATGAGGGATTTATGAAATGAGTGCGAAAGTTACTCCTCCCTCAGCGGAGTTTACACAGTTCCAAGACACGAGATAATACGCTGCGAGTTTACATTTACGTTGGATACTCATTAATTCATTCCCTCATTCGTTCCGCAATCCATTTATTCCTACTTTCTCTCTCGTTCCTCATCACAGGAGCTAAAGCATCGAGCTGCGACTCGATCAACTTTTGTTCGGGACTGAAGAATGGTCGTTCGTCCCGAATATTTTACAAGTTGAAATGAAAATTAGACGTATTTCTGCCAAACGGAACTATACCGCCGTGATGGCGAAGAGAGCAGTCAAATTGTCGACTTTGAGTTTCCTTCAAAATCCGTATAATCTCGTCTGATCAGCGTGCTACCGACGAGGAACGTGCACTGGCGCCTACAAACCTAAGTGGATACTTCACGCATTGCGTAATGTTTGAAGTATCCACTTAGGTTTGAAGGCGCTGGCCGGCTGCCCGCAACGTGCCACGGCGCCTCAAGCAACTATTTCACAACAGAAGTGTTGCACAGTATCATGCGGAATTGAAGGCGCTCCAACATATTAAGGATGACCGGCATCCTTTTAGAGTACGGAGCTTCACTCGCAAAATAAATTAAGATAATACTGCTCAAAGAGAGCGGTAATAAAAAAAACTCACTAAACTTCAGCATCCGTATCTAATAACGTTTAGCATAATGTTTGAATTTTATTAGAGAAAAAAGTGACATGATTTAGGCTGAAACATTCTTTAGTATGCCGTCAAGAGGACTTTATTTTGAACCAAGAATAAAATAGCTAAATGAAAGCGGGGTTCTGCTTGATGTAAGTGACTCTCCTTTTTATAGAAGCATATTTTCTTCTTTAAACAAACATTATTTTCTTTATTGATGGATCTGGAAATCTTCTCGTCGGTAAGTTTAAGAGTATTTCTACTTGGAATCAAGTCACTTTTTCGTCTAATGAAGTTCAAAAATCATGCTAAACGTTATTGAATACAGATACTAGGACTTCAGTAAATTAAGTAATTACGTAAATATGGACTTTCCAAATTTTTTTAATGGATTTGCTTTATCGTTTAGTATTTTTGAAAAAAAAAATATCCGCGAATATCAAAATAACTGTGAAATGACAGTTTCAGGGTAACAAAATGACTTGGAAATGAGGGGCTTGGAGGATGAGTGCAGTTTTTGCTATTTTTAGAAATACGTTGTCTTAAAGTTTCAAAATTACATAAAGCCTCATGGTAGGAGGGAGGTTTAAACTCACTATTTGATACTTTAAAGTTGGATTTCAGTTCTGAATGTTTAGGTTCTAGTGGAGTTCATGAAAGACTCAAGTTTTTCAAAAACTGCACTTATGCGCCTTGACCTATAAGCCCCTCAATTCATTTCGCGGAAAAGAACACTGGAAACAAAAAAAACACATTATGAATCTAGAGTCCAGACTCTTGAAAACATTAACAAGAAAAATGACTCTTGGTTCAATCAGATTTAAGCTTAAATCAAAAAGAAATCCGCTCAAATTAAGAGGCTTGGCTCTTGATTTAAGCTTAAATCTGATTGAATCAAGAGTATTTTTTCTTGTCGATGTTTTTAAGAGTCTGAACTCTAGATCCAATGTGTGTTTTTTTTCCAGCGGAGACTCGGTATTTTTATCGGAGCTTTCTTTGTTAATAAGTGGAATCCCAATAAAAATACGATCTTTATCAGCCATTCACCCCTTACACTTTTTTTTCTGTCACATAATAGTTTCCGACATTCAACTTGTTATCGATGGATGATGGATTGGCGATAAAATAAGAGTGGAAGGATTGTTTTTAATGAAAGTTTTTTACTCACGTTCAGGAGAGCGCGTGACAGGAAGAACGTCACCTCTGCTTTGCACAGGGAGTCGAATTGCTGAAACAAATAACGTCACGTTTGATTTCCCACATTTATATTTTTCACACCCTTTTAGAAGCAGCGAGTAAAGAATTACACCGTACAAGACGCCTTCAATTTTGAATACCGCAACACGTGTAACAGAAGTTAAGGACATACCTATCCGGTAGGATCAGAGACGAGAGACCTTCCACTTGCATTTCGGCTATAGTGGAAGCTTTTACTTTCGGGACATCAACTTAAAACTGTTGACGTACCTACATGGTCGATGTTTAACAACGTGTTGGCAGTTTCGTTTTGCAAACAAGCCAAAACAAGCCGTAGTTTTGGAAACTACTTGTTCGGCTCATGACGTCACCCGAGGCTCATCATCCACCATGTAGGTAGGTCAACAGCCGAAAAAAGAGTGATGATTGTTGCTCCTTTATAAGTCCTTGAGGAAGTGTTGAATCCCCGAAAGTAAAAGCTTCCACTTGTCGCCAAGAGGCCAGTGGAGGGTCTCTTGTCTCTGGGTAGGATCTACAGGGATTTCAGTACGGCTAAGATTGTGCAGCTCTGTTAACCATTTCAAGAAAAGTAAATTAATTTCCGGTCAAATCAATTCCAAATGAAAAGGAGAGGAATTCAAAGATCATTTTGGGGAAAATGCATGGGACAGCTTCCCAGCTCAGGTTGCGATATTTTAACAGCATTGGAGGTCTTATTGACCTTCTTATAAAGGCGTTTCAAGACAATAAGGTGGGAAGAAACGCTCGAAAAAGAAAGATCGTATTCGATAGTGGTTCGATTTAAATTGTTTGGTTCAAAACAATAGAACATTACCAAAAAAAGTAGGCTTTAAAGTTGAAAAGCTGGAAATGAGAAAATTCCTAACAAGTTTACTCTTCATGGTCATTTATAAGTATCAAAAATCTATCACAAAAAACCCGTTCCCTCAGATTACTCCATTGACTTTTGAGGCTATATCTACATGTTCAACCAACCAATATCGATACAATTCCACCTGTTGTATCGAATGCGATCCATTGAAATCTTACGCTAACGAAAGTTTACAAGATTATTTCTTTATTTAGATGAGGTTTCATTCCGTCTCTCTCAGGGTAAACTTCGTCGTCAGTGCACAGTAGATCGAGTTAGTACGAAAGGTTGGACAAAATATGGAAACTTTAAAAGCTCATAACTCCATTTATATGACATATTGAGGTTCTAAAAGTGGTTCCATTAGTTTTCTCATGAAATTTTCATCAAGAGGCACCCCTTAAAATTTAAATGTGACGAAATAAGCATCAAAATTTGCAGTTGTAGTTATACTCCCTTTATACAAAGAGTTAAGACAAACCCCCTCATGGAGTCACAAACGGGAATAAAAACTACACAAATTGAAAGTTTTTCATAATCTTTGATCTGTCCATTCTCAAATTCCTTTCTTCGTTTCTTCTTTCATTCCGTTTGTTTCTTGCCAAACCCGTAATTCCCCGGTCCATTCCAGATTGTAATCTTTGCAATTGGTGAAAATGTAATCTTTATTCCCGTTTGTGACACTGCGGAGGCCTGAAATACGGGAACCAATTAGGAATGGATTCACATTGTCTTAACTCTCAGTATAAAGGGACTCTAGTTCACTGAAAAATAATTCTCGGCGTTTTTACCACGGTCCGTTGGTACCTTCACCATCTCACTTTTTTTACCAATTATTGGTAATTTTACCAAGACAGACTGGTAAGCTTACCTAAAAACCGGTATTTTTACTGTTTTTTCAGGTAAGAATACCACTTTTATTGGTAATCAATTCCCGGTAACTTTGCCATTTTATCTCGGTAATTCTACCACAGTCGATAAAAAATATTGGCGTTTTTACCAAGGTCTAGTAAAATTACCGAGAAAGTCAATAATTTTACCGAGATTTCTCGGTAAAATTCCATAAATGGTAATTTTACCAAGAAAAAACTGGGATCAAATAGAACCCTGAATTCTTGGTAATTTCACCCTTTTCTTGGTAAATACACCGAGATTTTTTTTTCAGTGTAGTTGCAGTTAAAAGTTTCAAGCCCAACCACTCCGATTGACTCGATCCACTGTGCGGTGACTAAAAAGTCTATCCACAGCCGCGAGAAATATGAAAAAGCGTGTTCACAAGCCACGCGAATGGACGCTAATTAGCGTATTTCAGACTTTTTGATGTGCTCATCGTGTTTAACGCAAGATTTCCGCCTCTAAAGAAAGTCTTTTCATTTGGCTGTGTCTCATATGCGTGCACTAGACTCATTCAAAGCTTGTGCGAACACGCTTTGTAACAGGAAAAGACCCGCCGCGGCGGAACGTAAATGAAAAGCCGAAAAGAGGCAAAAGCTCCACAAAAAAAACTACCGAGTTTTTCAGAATTTTCCAATCATACTCTTGATAGATTGGAACCGCGCGCGGGTTCAGCTTTGACTCCCGATCTTGCTTTGCTGCACTCGCCAGATGTTGAAAATAATTCACCAGATTAATAATGTTCGGATTCATGCGGGGGTATTTCATTTGGGAACTGCGCTCTCTCTGAAGGGCTGTACTAGAGGAACGTCGTATGAACAGGGTGGCAAAATTTCATGACAAATAAAATCTACAAATTTTAAGTGAGATATTTCATGAAATTTCAGAAATTTATGAAAGATATTGATAAAAATCGGTCCCTTTGCAAGTTTTGTAGAGTGTAAAAATTGTGACTTTCTTTCTAATTTTTTGTGTTTTGAGTGCGGGTTGCTTATTCTAGCCCCTGAAAAATATGAAATATTTCACTGGAGTTTCCAACCTTTCATTTCTTTCTTACGTCTCATGCCACCCTGCTTATGATCTTCTATACGTTGCCAAATTTTTGTAATAAAATACGGATTTTTTAAGATATCTCTGGATATTTTGACTGCATTTTGCAGAGTGGAACCGAGACACATCAGCTTTTGCCAAATTTAATTGGGCAATTTCCTATCCTACATGAAAGCGGTTGTTCATATTTTTGTGCAAATTTCAATGAAATTTCTGCATAGTATGGGGCGAATTCCTCAACATTTTGGGGAGGGAATCCGCACTAACGTTCTCTTGTGAAAAGATGAATGGCCCAGTTAAATTTGGCAATACCTGATGTTGCTCGGTTCTTTTCTGCTAAACGCGATCCATACATCTACCAGCTTTACAGTGAATTGTACTCAGAACTTGATCTAAAATATCTGAACATTTCAGGAAAAAATATTCATAAATAAGCCCAAAAATGCGAGGAAGACTAGGCAACATGCGAATTCCAAACGGAGTTTTTCTTTAATCGGCAGAACGGACCATTTCCTCCCTTCCTCCTCTCTTTTTAAATTCCTGCAATCGTAACAGCAGGGACAGAAATCTATTCGGAGAATCTGGGAGCGGAGCTGGAATTTAATCTGGGTTAAAACCGATACTAAATAACAGAAGGATCGATAGGACGGCTTTCATCAAAAAGAAATAAATTTCCGTAGTATTCAGAAATGATGTCTCCGCTATAGATTTGCCTATTCAGGATGGGCACTTTAATAAATTGGTCCCTAGGTCCAGCCTCCTTTGAGCGCTGTCGATGGACTCGTTCGTTTTACATTGAATTATAAGGTGGTGGTCTGCCGTGATAACAAAAAGAGCAGTGAGTGCAAAAATAGTTTTGAGAAAACGGGCTCAGAAGCTTCTGACCGGAAAATTTAATGGAAAGAAGCCTCCATTCTTTGTCAAACTGCCACTAATCGTCCGAAAGATTCCTAAAAATTATTCGGATATTTAAAAATCGACTAATTTTATTTTAATTACATAAAAAAACGTTTTTTTTTTAATTTTCACGCTAGGTTATTTTTAGACAATACAGCAGTAATGCTATCTTCTGCATGCTTTCGTAGTTGCGTTTTGGACACACAACAAACGCATTTCCAGGCTTGAAATTGGCAGATGAGGGTGGCACTTTACTTGAAAGCACTGTCTTCATTGGTTCTCTGGAGGAATTATGTCACTTACTGATGTCTTGCCTGAAACAATGTCATTTTTTGCGCACTTGCGGCTTTCTTGTGGCTCATTTCGATACAATTAGAATGAATTTTGCTGTTTTAGCAATTTCAGTGATTTCAGATAAAAGAGATTAGATGAATTTTGAAGGAAACTCGATTTTGAAAATTTGACACTTACTCCTCTCTTTGCTATCACGGCAGAATAGTAAAAGTATATTTCAAAAATAAAACTAAAAAAGAATGTTGCACACATCACGGTTTGGATGCTTCGGAAATTCCGCTCCTGTTTCGCCACAGAAAATTGAGCTATCTTTTTTGTTTTTAAACTTTGATTTTAAATATACCAGGTTTTCTCACTGCCGATTAGTCGAAATACGGGTGTCCAGGAATTTTCATTTTCGCTGAAAGATTTTTTCCTAAAATAAGCCAAAAATAGTCGCTCTTATTTGTAAAATCGTCATCTTCCGGCGAAAGTATCACAAGCGCCATGCGACGCATCAAAATTTCCGCTGCAATTTCATTTTTTTAGAAAAAAATGAAAGTTGAAATGGAAAAATGTTCAAGAAAGCCGTCCGAAAATTTTACTGGATTTTCTTTGTGCTGCCGATAAAAATCAGTAAAAGTTTCAAACAGATTCAACCGAAAATCTCTCTTTAAAAACATAAAATGGCGGCGGGAATTTTCAAACGTCGCATGGCGCTCGTGATACTTTGGTCGGAGGGTGACAAAATGTAGATTAATTAATACTCACCCTATTTACATGATCCCTAAGTACGTTTGAGTAGACCATGGCTAGCGCTTCCATGGCCATGAAAGCGATGCAGCCAATTATCCATGGCACGACTAAACCCGAATTTTCCTAAAAACAAATTGAAAAATCGAAAATTAATTTACTTTACGGTTGTTCACAACAAAATGAAAAATGGCTAGGGTCTAACGTACGCAAAGAGACCGAAATATTTGGTAGACAAATAGCGCGCTTGGTAGTGGACTGGAAGAAATCCATACCCACCATTCTGCCATGCTAAGAAAAAACGGAGTATAAATCCCTAGGCGTCGCCAGATTTCCTTCGATAAACACGAATTCCCTGGTAAACTTGTGAATATTTCCCTTACAATTCTTCGGGTAATTTTGCTCTCAATCTCACCTAAAAGACTTGACAATTACAAGGAAACATTTTCATAACGTTCCCCATAAAAAAAAAAAAAAACTGTTTATCAAAGGAGATTTGGCAACTTTCGAATGTTTATACGGCGTTTTTCCATATTACGGCAGCATTGCGAGCTGATTATTGAAATTAATAGACAAAGGAGACAAGGAAAATGGAGAAATCCTTGGAAGCGAATAGATGCAACGGGCTTAAAAGGTATGTAATGGATTAACTGACGGCAACCTGCGAGGGACCCAGACCCTACAGTCAGTTCATAATTTTCTCTCTTAGTTTAAAAAAAACCAACGGTTTCAACGAATAAAATCGCTCTATTTTCCCATTGTCTTCTTCGCCTATCGGTTTGTCTATCAAATGTAATAATCAGTAAGTTGATTCCTTCCTCTGAGCTGATTCCCTTGAGAAATCTGAAGAGGCGACTCAACTCGACTACATTTTGCAATGATAAATTAGTATTTTTAGCTCACTCAATAAAGTGCTCATATGAGTAGAAAATAGGACTCCACTTTGCAATTAGGAACTACAATATCCACATCCGTAAAAACACTTATGCGCATACTGCCGTGCTAAGCAAGAACCCCGTACATCCATCAAAATTTTCCCGCGTTTTTTGGAACTTAACACTTTATAAAATAAAAGCTAGCTGTTTTACCCATGTACCTCAAATTTTCAGGTTACGTTCTTGATAGTATTTGCTAAAGAACTCTGTAAAAACATTGTCTCAAGGTACACAAGTTTCTATGCTATGACAGATTGTTTCCCAAAAATTTAACATGGCGTTTAAGGCGTTTTTGCGTTGCACGGCGGCATAGGGAAACCGAATATACTTTCTTTCTGAACTGAGCCAGAAATTGTAGCTTCCAATAGCAGAATGTAGTCCCATTAATGGCTCGTATGTGCTTTTCTAAAACGAGCGAAAAATAGTAATTCCTAATTGCAAAATGTAGTCCCTTCATCGACGAAATCTGCAAATGAGTGATGCCAGCAGCGGCCCCTCGCTGACACTTCGCATTTATCCAGGCCAGCTGCAGAAATGCAGACTGCAGGGTGCACTAAGCAAAAAGTCTCTCTTCCACTCCGAACCATATTTTCATTCCATCGCCGTCGTCTACTGTCACTAGCAGACCGCATTAACTTGACCGCAGTCGAGTCGCAGTAATGAATGAAGATCAATCAAAATTGAGGTTGAATTTCCCTATAATCTTCCATCTCCGATCTTGTGACTGCAACCGAGAACAATACTCAAACTCGCTTCTCAAGGAGTTCTTTTTATCAAGGAGATTTGAACTTCATTTTGCAATAAGGAACCACAATTTGTGACTCATCCGTAAAAGCGCCTATCTGTATTGGGAAACTGATGGCACATACGTCGTTTCTTAAATGAGCCAGAAATATCAGTTCCTCATTGCAAAATGAAGTCCATCTATACAGTTAGCACTAACATTCGGAGCTAGGAAAAAATATACTTTGAAGACTGGTTCATATTTAATTGACGGACAAAAGAAATATTTTGTGGTCACTAAACTCTGTAAATAATGCATAAACCGAAAAAAAGTGAAGTTGATTAAAAATTCCGAAAGTAAAATTAGTGTGCGTGAACGTACAAAATGCTGAACTAACCGCTACATCAGTTACTTTAGTAATGCCAAGACGTAGAACTAACTGCGTGGCGGGTGATTCGAATTTTATAAGTTCTTGCACACTTTTTTTCATCAAGAATGTTCAATCAACTCCATTTTTTTTCGGTGCAGCAATACTACCGCCGTAGAGTCAGCCGTCAGCCTGACGATAAGCCTCTCAAAAAGAAAACTTACTACAGAGATCGTTACGTACCTTGTAAATTCCAAAAAGTAGTGTTATACTGAGCACAATCATGAAAAGTTGCGTGCCGACTATGGCTATGTACGCAATTTGAACTCCTGCAAAACCAAAACATATAGATGAAAAAGCAAATCCACATGTAAGTAGTCTCGAAGTTGGTTTGTAAAGTTTTGGATGAGCTTTAAAGTGTTCTATTATGTTTGTTCACGCTCATTTGGTGACATTCGCGAGAGGGTCTTTCAATGAGTGTATTCGATTGGAATATTCACCGATGCGGTAGTATCATTTGGATGTATCTGTCGCAGGCAAATAGTGAAATCAGGCATTTTGTCAAATGCCTAGGCAGATAGTTAAATTTTGACGGTCTATACAATTTTTTGAATTTATGGCGAGGAGCTCGCAAGTTTTCAATATTTTTTTGAAAAATAACTCATCAAACCTACGAACTCTTCTTGTCTCTTCCTCTTTATTTGCCTCTCATATTTTTAAATGATGAAATCCTAAAAATTCTGTATTTCATGACATACTGAAAATTTCCAGATAAGTGTCTGTGCAGGAGCTAAAAACGGTTTAAAATACTATTGTGCGATGCAAATTTTTACTCAGAATTTTGTCTTACAGGAGAAATTAATTATTTTGTCAAAAATTAGGAAAAGAAGCAGAATTTCAATCTAAGTTAGAATATTTGACTATTTGCCTAGACATTTGACAAAATGCCTAGTTTTACTATTTGCCTGCGACATATCTATTCTACGAGAAACTATGTCGACGGTGAAACTACCAAACCACGTATCTCGGTTTGCGACGTCGCAGACTTCCTGTCATACTTTATTCTTTAAATGAAAAACTACTTAATATCCAGTCTTGAAAATTTCTGTAATTTTTCCTCTTTAAGCGGAGAAAATTCCGTGAAAATTTCAAGGAATGATATTGATTTGGTCTACTTCAAAAAAATAAAATGTGAGCGTAGGTTTTTAAACACCGCAAACGAGATACGTGGTTTGGTAGTTTCACCGTCGATGTGCAAAGAGTTTCCGTTAGACATAGCTCCTTTTTGCATAAATACGTCCATTTTTGAAGCGGGAAGCTTAAAAAGATGCATGACTATCTGCATCTCAACTATATCGAATTGGATCCAAACAATAACATTGGCATGACCTTTTTCAATGCTACCAATGCAAAAGAATCGATTTATAATGCTTTTCTGTGACGCGGCACTAATAGGGGCTATGACAGACTTTCCGGATGCATTCATCGTGATTTTTGAGCCACTTTTTATAGAAAAAAAAACCTATATTTTCCCTGCTAAAAATGGTGAGAACAAATGAGTAGAAAATCAAAGTCATATGAATAGAATTTCAATTCATATGAATAGAATTTCAACTCATATGAATAGAATTTAAACTCATATGAATAGAAATTCAACTCATATGAATATAAATTCAACTCATATGAATAGAATCTAACTCATAGGAGCAGAATTTCTCTATTCACTTTTCGCCGACTCATATGACTAGCGATCCCAACTCATATGACTGGGGATTTCAACTCACATGAGTTCGGCTCTCCCCTGACGTAAAGGCGTATCTCGATTCGAACGTGAGCCCTGTTCTCCATATAACTCCATGCTTTCCGGGGCTCAGGTGGAAATCGAGTTACACCCTTACGTCAGAGGAGCGACGAGTTCAGCGTTGAATCTACCATGTCTGATATCTCAGAAACTAGTCACCGCATCAAAAAAATTATAAGGACAAAATGTTCTTATTGTTCAAATTTACATAATTAGTCAGTGTCTGTTGGTCAAAAATAGCACTTCTGAAAAATGAAAAAAATTGAATTCATATGAGTTGAACTTTTCTACTCTTATGAGTAGAATATTCTAGTGATATGAGTAGGGTTTCTACTCATATAAGTAGAAAGTTCTACTCATGTGAGTCGGCGAATTCTGAATAGCCTACTCGTCATTTTTAGCAGGGTTATTTTTTAGCTCGAGCTGAAGTTTGCAACACGTTCATTACCTTACGAGGTGAAGGGATATCAAAAATCGAAACTGGTGTGAACGTCATTAATGGATATTATCGCGGCGAAATAAGTTTAATTTCAAGGATTCTCCATTTACGCTGAAGCGGGCTACAACAACGTCGCGTTGGTGTTTCAGAAATTACAATATGAACCCGCAGCTCAGTTTCCTAAGCCCAACAGTAGCGGTATCGTCTACGGGACAACAGGACAGGGAGACAAAGAGTAGGGATGATGACGTTGTTGTAAGTGGCAAGTTTGAGAAGCTGTTGAAGAACTCCTGAATGCATCGCGACGCCTTTTGATTAATTAGAATACCTGCCGTGCACGTTGGCAAATGGGTCTGAAATTTTGCGTGTGAGTAAATTTTGATGACTCCTGTAAACACCGAACCGTAATTGGATTGCATTTTGCAGAAAAGAACCAAGAGTATGCCAATGTTGCAAGGATTTTGCAACTACACGGAAAAAAATGATATCGCTGATTTAACAATTTTGAAGTTAAAAAAAGTGTCCGACATGTTTCAATGTAGATTTTACTATAAAAACATGCTAATTCAACCACTCCAGTGGTTCAATTAGCTTTTCACTATCGTAAAATGTACATTTGAAACTGCGAGCAAATTGCTCCTTAAGGCGATCGTGTAGGCATTCACACTCTCATTCATACCTTACAGACTACTTACAAATTAAATCTTGATGGGAGTTCAAAGGTCTCCCACTTCTTTAATCTTTTCACAAATATTGTACTATCTAAGAGGGTTACAGTCTCTTCATTGACATGTATTTCAAGACGAAACTCATATTTCTTCATACAGCGATTGCAATTGCAATTTTTTCAGTGTCTCGGCAATTGCTTGTCTAACCGTGGGTACCTCCAATTCTCTCCTTATGCCTCCGTAAGTTTACCAGGAGATTTGTGTCTTATCAAAGGAAATTCGGCAACGCCTGTAGGTTCATATGGCGTTGTTCCTAAGCACGGCAGTATTGTTTATCATTGCCCGCGAGGAGGTTCGCAATAAGTGTTAACGAGATCTGGTGCTGTTCGACTTTCGCTCGGCGAGAGAGGATCAGACGGAAACCATCGGCGGGGTGAAATACAATTGTGGAGAGACGATTGAAATATATCCCCGGGATGGAATTGAGATAGGACGATCGAAGGCACCACGGCGGAAAGGAGCACCCTCGAGGGGAATTACGCTGTCGCGCTAAGGAAGAACGGCGCAAGGGACATTACAACGTTGCAAAAGTTCTCTTAATGCAACATTTATTTTTGCGAAAAATCAAAAATAATCTAAATGGCTCATAGTAGAGTACCTATATTAAGAGAGAGTGTGGCCACTGGAGTTACCACCTCTGATTGGCTCAGCCATCTTAGGCTGAATGGAGCCCTTAGAACCCAAAAATGGCGGACGCCATAAAGTTAATGTAATGCAAAATGATTCAAAATGTAGTTGTCTTTGCTTAGCGTAACGAGAACTTTACCCAAATGCACTATTGCGACTTTTTTACATATTTTTAAGGCTAATCGTGTGCAATTTTTGAGAAAAATGATCTTAGATGTAGTAAGGTTGGCAGCAAGTGCGGTTGGTGATAACCGTCAAAAGTTGGCAATGAACCCCCTCCCATCCTCAAAAACCAAAACAAAGCACCGCCATTTTTGGGTCCTAAGCCTCTCCATGGGACCCAGTGGCCATTCTCTCTCAATATAGGTACTCTAGCTCATAGACTTAAAATACAATCTAGACCGCGCATTACAATATTTAGGTAGGGACTCGAGAAGAGATCCCGAAAATCGGGATTTTCGGTTTGAGACGATAGGCAACCCGCATTGTAGCTGGTACCATCCAGCCGTCCCTTGTCCCTGTTCTCGCTGTGCTGTCAGCAGCCTTGATTACCATTGCAATTCTGCGAATACAAACCACCCGCGGTCAAAGCAGACGTGCCCACGCCGCCGGGGTTGCAATTTTTCATGAAAATAAAATCTTGAAATTTCATGTGAAATATTCCGTGAAATTTCAGGAAAATATGAAAAATATTTTTTCGAAATGAAATGCAAAATTAAATGAAAGGCGACTGGTTATTGCTTTTTGGTTTTTTTCAGTGCGTGTTGCACACCTGGTCCCGGAAAATATGTATCATATTTTTCACAGCTTTGTGAAATTTCATGAAATATTTCACGGAAATATTCAATATTTATTTTTTTCCATTTCACCCGTGCAACCCTGGCCCGCACTCCTACAATCTGATACATCTCTGATAATTTTTTGGCGCGTATACGTAGTAGTACGTGGCGTATACCGCCTTTGCGATCGTTTCGACCCCCCACTCGATACAATAACCGAGTCCCTTAGTTCCTTACCGAAAAGTGACTACCGCGAACCTCTGTGATCTTCCAAAGCGTGTAAAAAGTTTACTACTCCGTCAATAATTATGATTCTAATGTATTTCTCATTCTGGGGCTTTCTAGTTTATGTGCAATGAATACCAAGAGTTTACGTTACTTGGTTTTCTCTAAAAGAACCTAAGAGCGGTCAGCGCTGATTTAAAAAATGCATATATAAACAGAAGCAAACGAACTGATTCGAGGATTGCTGAGCAGGCCAGCACTCTAGGAATGATAATTTTACTCCTCCGTTTCGTTCATAACGTTGCTTTGACAGATCTATACACCCCTGTTTGATTTTCAAAATTTGGTACCACTGCTCTGATAGCCCGAGCAGCCATCTGCATGGCTCATACAGGAATCCACTTACCCCTCTCCTCCCCACGCGCTTGATCACTGCGGCGGCATCTCATCGGCGCTTGTCGGGTAACAATGGACTTGGGTCCCAGCGCGGCCGAGACCCTCGCCCGATTACTCACGCTTAATTAACCCTTTCACCGTCACGCTAGGATTCATCCAATTTTCCAAAAAAATTGTTTCGCGAGTATTCAGCAATTTTTTCCTTACTCTCCGTTAAAACACGAATAAAAAGAGGCCTCATTCATAAAAATCGGCCGAATAGAAGAGAAGTTACAGTAATCGAAATCCGAAGAAATCAACAAAACCTCGACTTCTCGATACAAAAAATAAAATG